AGTCACAAAATACAGGGTCAATATACAAAAATCGATTTGACTTTTTTTTTTTTTTAAGATTTTATTTATTTATTTGACACAGGCACAGCGAGAGAGGGAACACAAGCAGGGGGAGTGGGAGAAGGAGAAGCAGGCTTCCTGCGGAGCAGGGAGCCCGATGCGGGGCTTGATCCCAGGACCCTGGGACCATGACCCGAGCCGAAGGCAGACGCTTAACGACTGAGCCACCCAGGCGCCCCTCAATTTGACTTTTATACACTAGTGATGAACAAGTGGAAAAGGACATGTAAAAATACCATTTATAATAGCATCTACAATATGACATATATTCAGGGAAATCTTTAATTATATGCAAAACATGTACATGGAAAACTCTAAAAATGCTGAGAGGAAATAAATGGCAATATATACCAGGGTTTATGAATGGGAGGCTCAATATTGTTAGATGGCATTCCTCCCCAAGTTGAGTTACATATTTGATGTGATTCCAGTCAAAATCCTAGCAGGGTTATTTTTGTTTTTGTTTTTTTTTAGAAGTTGGCAAGCTGAAACTTATATACAAATTCAAAGGTCATAGAATAGCCAAAAAATTGTGGAAAGGAACAAAGCTGAGGGACATAATCTGCCCAATTTTAGGACTTAAAGTAAATATATAGTAATCCAAGAGATTACTGTACTTTTAAGTATAGAAATAGAAATCAATGAAATAGTCTAGAAAGATATTGTGTATATAATATATATCTATTATACATATAATACACTGCACACACACACACACACACACACTTAATTTTCAGTTAAAGTACCAAAGTAATTCAATGGGGGAAATGGTGTTTTCAGAAGATACTGCTGGCGAAATGATATATCTGCTTGGAAAAAGTGGATCTCAACTCTTTTTTTCTTTTTAAGATTTATTTTAGAGAGAGACAGAGCATGAGCAAGAGGGGCATTTTAGAGAGAGACAGAGCATGAGCAAGAGGGGCAGAGGGGGAGGGAGAGAGACTCTCAAGCAGATTCTGTGCTGAGCACAGAGCCCGACCCAGGGCTCAATCCCACGACCCCGAGATCATGACGTGAGCCGAAACCAAGAGGTCAGACGCTTAACTGACTGCGCCACCCACGTGCTCTGTGAATCTCAGCTCATAACTCACATCACACAAAAGTTGACTTAGAGTGAGTCACAGAACTAAATATAAGAGTTAAAAGCATAAAACTTCTAAAACAGGAGAAAATACTTTTGGGTAAGCAAAGATTTCTTGTGGAGGAATAAAAAGCATGAACTATAAAAGTTGACAGGCTTCATCAAAATTAAAAATTTCTGTTCTACCAAAAACATTAAATGAGAAGGCAGGGCACCTGGGTGGCTCAGTCAGTTAAGACTCCAACTCTTGGTTTTGGCTCAGGCCATGATCTCAGTGTCCTGAGATCAAACCCTACGTTGGGTTCTACGTTCAGTGTGGAGTCTGCTTGAGATTCTCTCTCCCTTTCCCGCTACCCCACCCCAATAAATAAATAAATCTTAAAAAAACAAGAAGGCGAACTCAGGGACTGGGAGAAAATATTTGCAATACACAGATCGGCATAGGGCTTGTACCCAAAATTTATAAAGTACTCATAACTCAATAAGGAGACAAACCAACCAATGAAAAATGGGTGAGGTAAGGAGGATTCTATGATGACCCCAAGGACCATGCCCTTGTATAATCATCTCTTCCTTGAATATGGGTGGGATCTGTGGATATTAAGGATGTCATTCCCGTGATTAAGTTACATCATATTATACAAAGGCATTTTGACAGATGTAATTGAGGCCAGTCAAAAGGGAGATTATCTCAGGTGGGCCTGAGATAATCAGGTGAACCTTTAAATGAGGCTCACGAGGCAGCAGCAAAACTTTCCCGTTGGCCTCGGAGCAAAGCACCATGAGTTCGACAGCTGCAGGGAAATGCACTGTGTCAACAACCACGCGTGCTTGGAAGGAGACCTGGGCCCCAGGTGGGACCCCAGTGCTGCCCAACGTCTTCACGGCAGCCTGTGAGACCAGAAGGGAAGACCCAGCTCAGCTGTGCCTGACTCACACTAACTGTGAGACAATAAACATACTTTCTTTTTTCAGTTTAATCTGACAAACTTGTGGTGACCTGTAGAAAGCGAACACGATAGGCAAATGATGAACATACACTTCACGAAAGAAGACATGCGAATGGCCAGCAGGTACATGAAAAGGTGGTCAGCAACAGCCATCACCAGGGAAAAACACATTGCCAACAAAATGAGAGTACCCCTACCCGCGCACACGAGTGGCCAAATTGAGGCGGAGGGGGACCCCAGCAGTCCTAAGGACAGCATCTGGAACTTTCATGGGCTGCTATGGAAATGCCAAACGTTCCAACCATGGTGGAAAACAGTTTGGAAGTTTCTAGTAAACCCAAACGTACGTTATCATATGGCCCAGCGATTCGTGTTTCCACACAAAGACTTTTTATTCATAGTAGCCCCACAGTAGAAACAGCCCAGTTGCACGTCAACAGGCCAATGTGTGAACGAATCGTGCTGTATCCATACAAGGGGACGCTGCTCAGCCACGGGATAGCTTTTGGGGGTGATGGTGACGGTTTGGAACTTGACCGTGGTGGTGATGGTGGTTACATGGGCGTCTCTATTTGTCAAAGCTCATCTAACTTTACACTTATCATGGGTGCATTTTATATACAAATTATACCTCAGTAGGGCTGATTTTTATTTATTTATTTATTTTTAAAGATTTTTTTTTAAAATTTATTTATTTGACAGAGAGAGACACAGCGAGAGAGGGAACACAAGCAGGGGGAGTGGGAGAGGGAGAAGCAGGCTTCCTGCTGAGCAGGGAGCCTGATGCGGGGCTCGATCCCAGGACCCTGGGATCATGACCTGAGCCGAAGGCAGATGCTCAACGACTGAGCCACCCAGGCGCCCCAGTAGGGCTGATTTTTAAATGTTGACTTTCTCGGCATGGTTTTACTTGCTTGAAAATGACCCTCCAGCGAGGGAGCTAATGGTGCATGCAGGTGGATAGGGGTCAATTGCAGGAGGGATGTCCTTGACTAGGAAGTAGGGTAGGGTCCAGTGCTTAAGTGGAATGGCTATTGATACAACCCGGGGGGTAGTTTATCTGTTTACTTGGTTAAACAGGAAGCAGTGTAGCAGCTGAGACGGAGGGGAGGGGAGGCGTTGGGAGGTTAGGGGGAGCAATGAAAGGGTATAAAAGTCATTTCAGAGAAAAGATGGACCTCAGGCTTGCCTTCCTGCCCCACCCCCACCCCTCACCCACTTCACCTTGGGACTCCTTTCCCACATTCTTCTTCCCCATCATTGTCTTACTGAAGCAGCTTGTGGCAGTTTCAGCTTAGAATCTTAGACTTGTGACCATCATTATGGAAACTCCAGGCCATGCAGCCTGTGTGAGACCTCATGGGAGGGGGGCCAGGAGTCTGCAGGAGGTGCTCCCCACACAGTGCTCACAGTATCTGGAGAGCTCTGGGGCTTTAGGGAAGCAGCAGGCTGTCAGAAAGCAGCTTGGGGGTGGTGGTAGGGAAGTCCGGGAGAGAGGCTTCCATGAATGGAGGGACAAGGGCAGTCATGGGGATGTGCAAGGGTCCCTCGAGACTAGAATTAAGAGGCCACAACTAAGAGGCAGGAATCAGGGTAGCAGGCACAGGGATAAGAGAGAAGGCCAAGCTGCCAGGGCCCAAGACCTAACAGAGAAGTCTTGGTGGTGAGACATGGCTCTCCCCGTGCTCCTTCTGGGCCTTTCTTCCCATCACCTTCAACAGTGACTCTGCAGAGGGGGCCGCTCTCACCTGGGCACTATTTCCTAGCTCTCAGAAACACGTTCAGGGCATAAGTCTTCCTGCACATCTCGGCTTTTCTCCCCTTCCCCACCCAGGCCTACAAAGCTCCTGCACTAGAATCTTCCTGCAGACCCACCTGTGGCTCAGGGCCCATAGACTTGGGGTTGTCCAGGGTTGCCAAGCAGAGAGGTAGCCAGGAAATCCAACAGGTCCACTTCCAGCAAAATACCCAGCCTGGTCTCCCTCTTAGAAGGATGCCAACCCCAACCTTGTCCATTGGAACTAGCTCCTCCACTAAGGGGACTTTATGGACATCTGTCACTTCTTCAACTTTGATTGCTATTGTGTCTCACCCAGAAGGGACTCTTATTTGGGGTAAGAGACAGGTCATCTGTTTCTGGGGGACGTGTCTGTAGACACTCAACCTGCCAGAGTCAACTCTGAGATTTGTGGTTTTAAAAAACAGTATTCACCCCTAAAGAAGGTCACCTCGACTTATAGTCCCAGAAGGAAATGCCTGGGGACGCCTGGGTGGCTCAGTCAGTTAAGTGTCTGCCTTTGGCTCAGGTCATGATCCCAGGGTCCTGGGATGGAGCCCCGCATCGGGCTCCCTGCTCGGCGGGGAGCTTGCTTCTCCCTCTCCCTCTTCTGCTCCTCCTGTTTGTGCTCTCCAGCTCTTTTTCTCTCTCCCCGCCCCCGACAAATAAACAAATAAAATCTTAAAAAAAAAAAAAAGGAATGATGTAATGTATGGTGATTAACATAATAATAATTAAAAAAAAGGAAATGCCTATTTTCAGCAGCCACTTAGTTATAGAGCTAGACTTATTAGAAATCAAATGCTTTTAAATAATTTTTTTCTAATTTTTTTAAAGCTCCCTAAATAACTACTGGCTCAGAGAGGCTTGGGAAGCAAAGGACCATGGCCCTGGGGCAGGGAGAGACTAAAGCCTGGTCGGACCCCTCTTGACAGCGCTGGGCCAGAGCACTGAGGCTCTGAGATGTTATCTTGCCCAAATGACACCATGTTTCTCCCTGGTGCCAGGTGCTCTGTAGGCAGAGGTGGTACGCGGGGCCTGGCGGGCTCCGGGAGAAGTCGGAGTTGCAGTGAACCTCCCCACGTGCCCCCCCCACCCCCCCGAGTCACCTCAGCCCTCCCAGGTGAGATGCAGCCAGCTTGTGCATTCAGAGCCTGTGTAGCTGCATTTTCTTCCCCTCTGCAGACAGAGAGACAGGACAGCACAGAGCAGCCCGGTTTCGTCACGGAGGGCAGCTGTCAGCATTCCCATAGCCTGGCACATTCAGAGAAAAAGAGAAGTCTTGGTCTCAGCTGCCCGGGGCAGATCCTGGCACTCCACTCGACTCCAAACTTCTCGCGACACCTGTCCATTCACTGTCCCCTCCTTCCATTGGGATTCCACCTGCTTGCACTCAACTGGCTCCTTCCCACTGGTGTCTAAATCAGCTCACGTCTCATCCATCCTAAAAAACCAAACCAAACCTTGACCTCATTTCTCCTAGGCTGAACCATCTTCTTATTCCCACACGCTGTACCCAGACTTGGGACTTCATTTTTATGCTGACAGCTTTCAAGCCATCACCTCCTTCCCAGAGCCCTTCTAAAGCACCACTCCCCAACCGCAGCTCCTGCGCAACATGACCACGCAGATGTCCCACCGGCGCATCAGAGCCCGCCTTCAAAACCGTGCTCTCTCCCCTGCTCACACAAACCCTATCCCCCCACCCCAGCTCCAACACGACCCTTGCTGTCCTCACAGTTGCCAAGACTCCTGGGGTCCCCCCCTGGACGATTTCTTCAGTGTGCCGTTCTGCTACAGGACGCTGCCAGGTCATCTGTCCCCTGCACGACCACCGCAGTCTCCTGGTTTCCCACCTTCAGCCGTGTGCACGCTCGATTCACATCCCACAGAGGAAGCAGAGGCAGCTTTCAAAATAAATTCTATCACCGCTCTTCCTACTGAAAAGACATTAATGGCTCCATTAACCTCATTAAATAAAGTGCAAGGTGCTGCCAGTCCGTGAAGCTTCTCCCCACACCCACAGTCCAGCCCCGGGGCGCTGAACACCTTGCTCCCTCCCGCCCCGCCCGCGGCCCCGCCCACACCGCAGTCTCCCCGCCCCCTGGAGGCTCCCGGAGGGCAGTGCGGGCACCCGGGCCGGGCTGCACAGGCGTGCTTTCAAATCCCAGCTCCACGTCTGTCTCGCTCTGGGCCCTGGTGCCACTCACTTCCTGTCTATGAGCCTCAGTCTCCTCCCAGTTCCTCGCATGTTGCTGCGCAAAAATTAAAGCAATAACGCACCCAGGGGCTCAGATGTTCCCCGTTATGGTCCTGACCCCACGCTCCTTACAGCCCTGTCCTCCCCGGAACTTCAGGGATGTTGCCCTACCGGGGTGCAATGGGAGCGTCCCCAGCTGCTCATGTTCGCCCTCGAATGCACTCCGAGCTGCCTAGCATCGACTGAGCCCTTACCTGGTACTGAGCGGGCTATCATCTCCCCATTTTACTTTATCCGGACGTGTTGCTTTCACCATACATAGCCGGTCAACAGATGGACGTGTTAAAGCCCGGAGTAGGTGATAACCACCCAAGAAGACACAACCAACCAGGGGCAGAACCAGTGTTCAAATCCAAGCCCATGGGCTCCAGGCCCTTTGCTTGAAACCCCTCCACCATTCTGTCTCCAGCTCTCCAAGTGCTCTAGGCTGGATCGTGGACGCCTCGTTCCTCCTTGAGCAACTCTCCCTTTCCCTGATTCTATTTACTCACGAAGCTTTGTGTATTCATTTCCCCCAGTCTCAGTGCTATCCCAACCCCACCTCTGAGCTTGCAGGACATCTCCTCCTGATTGCCCTCCTTCATGTCAGAGAGCCCCAGACTTACTTCAAACTCCTTCCACTGGTATCCAGTGACCTGATTTTGCAGCTTTCTGGGCAAATTTCTTTCATTCAGCCTTGAGGGCTAATTTCTTGTGAGCATGCCCGCCTCCTTCACCAGGCCGTGAGCTCTCAGAAGGCAGGACCCTGTCCTCCTGGTGCCCCTCTCTGCCTCTAGTACAGTGAAGGCAGATGAAACTCTCTCTCAGATCATATCCTGTCCTGACTTCCCTCTCTCCGCGCAGAGAACTATTCTTTATCCTGTCTTCCTGACTCTGGAATTTTTCTCTTGCCTCGTCCCTCACCTCTGTCTCCCACATCACTCCGCCCTGGTCAGGGCCATCTTCCAACTGTCTCAGATTCTCCCCGGCCTCCTCATTCCAACTGCCCAACTGTCATCCAGCCCCAGCCCTCACTACCGGGCCTTCACCCTGACGTCCCTGCCCTTCCCTTATTTTTAAATGTTGCCCCGAATGACCTAAAACATGGTAATGGCTTTTGCTTTTTTTTTTTTTTTTT